TGTTTAATAGATATCTTTCCCTTTCTGCCTCAGTCAAGGTGGGATCTTGGGTTTCTTGCTGAAGCGCCACCTCAGTCCCTAGACAAGGAAAAGAAGATATACGCTTGTTATTTAAATTATATATCTATTAATTTCTATTATTGATTTGCCTACTAAGTGAGTTAATGTATTTCTTAAAGAGGAAAAAGACCTTTGGCCTAAAGTCCCCTCCCCTCTCAGACTCTAAGGGCCCTGTCTGGCCTATTGCCATTTCTGCTTAACAATGGGCCAATGACCTTTATCAATAGCCAGAGGATCTGAGTCACCAGTTTCAGGGCAATTATCGGGACTTGAGGGAGAGAGACTTTTTCCCAAAAAAGGAGGGAAGAAAACTTAACTAGGTTTACTAAAAAGATGAAGAATTCTGCAAGAGATGTCCCTTATCATTTCCTGCTTAAAGATTAAGAATTTTACAAGTGATGTCCCGTATCAATTCCACTTTGGACATGTTATTTGAACAGCCCTGAAATAAGACTGTAAAAGTTCATATAAAGTTCATTATTTTATTTGTCTTTGAAACACTTCTAAGGACGTTGTCATCCATCTAGGGACTTCTTTCTGAAGTCCATACGAATTTCCCTTAAAAATTACTGCTAGATATAAAAACTGGTGAAATCCAAATAAGGTCAGTATTTGAGCTGATAGTGTTGAACTGTGTCACATTCCTGGTTTTGAGCATTGCGGAGGGTTACGTAAGATGTTATCGCTGGGTGAAGCCGGGCAAAGATAACACAGGAACTCTCTGTTCTATTTTTTGCAACTTCTTGTGAGTCTTAAACTACTGCAAAATAAAAAAGTTATAAATTATTTTTAAAAAAGATACTAGAAAGAACATTGCTCCTTTCCTAAAAAGTAGCCTCCTGATAGAGATCATGCCATGCACCCCTGTGTACCTGGCCATGAACTCGCAAAGTAGAAAGGTCGTGACAGCTTTGAAGGAAAACATCCAGCTCTGCCACTTACCAGTAATGTGGCCTTCAATGAGTCCTGTCACCTTCTCAGCCTCAGTTTCCACATCTGTAAAATGGGGTAATATAACCCAACCCATAGGCTCATTATAGAATGAACACTCAGTAATGTGTATATAGGGCCTAGCACAGGGTCTGGCATGTTGCTGGCATTCACAAATGTTTAATCTTTGTCCCTTCTTCTTCAAAATAATAATAATAATAAACATTTATTAAGTGCCAAGTGCTGTATTAGGTTGTAGGAATACAAAAACAAAGAAAATAGAGTCCCTGCCCTTAAACGGATGATGAAAGTGTTCATACACCACTTGCTTCGTACACCATCCTATTAAGGCCTCACACCAACCAGCTCCATGAGATTGGTAATACCGTCGTTCATTCACGTTTTACAGGCTAGGACCATCATCTGCTGAGAATGATGGCAACGCCTCTCAGCTGCTATGAGAGAGGCGTGGATTAAACACGGTAAAGAAGGTGTTGGGATCTGAGGATCTGGGAGGCAGTAGGCAGCATTACTGTGTGTGTGTATGTGGGGGGCCGGTGCGGGGGAATGGGCTCTCTTTATGTGGAAATTTTAAGAAAACCCAGGGAGAGCCATTGAGTTGGGAAAGAGACGTGTGGTTGGAGCAGCCCCAGCCAGGGCCTGGGGAGTGAGTTCAAGGATGTTGAACACTTTTTTCAATCATTCTTCCCCATGGCTCCCTGGTTTTCATCCCTGCAGATGTCTACAGCAGCACCCTGAGGACAGCCTGCCCACAGCCAGCATCATCCTCTGTTTCCATGACGAGCCCTGGTCCACCCTCCTGAGAACCGTACACAGCATCCTTGACACAGCGCCCAGGGCTTTCCTAAAGGAGATCATCCTCGTGGACGACCTCAGCCAGCAAGGTGGCTATGGGCTTCCCCCAGACTCCCTCGGGTGGGAAGGAATCCTGGGGGGAGGGGTGGTTCCTACGTAAACACTGGAGTTTGGAAACTGCTTAGAAAAGTTTCCCAGAAGCAGAGCTTCCGGTGAGACTTCAGGTGCAGGTAACTCATTACTGAAGGGCCCCCGGGAAACTAATGCGGAGGTAGGGGAAGAAGAGAGAGAAGGTGAACAGACATACAAGGCAAGGGTTGCTCCAGCTCGGTCCCATGCAGCAGGGGAGTCTTCCCTGGGCCCCAACCTCTACACAGACCAATAAACTTCCGCCCGAGACACTCAAGAATCACAAGGGGTGGCCGTTTTGTGAGGGCTCCCTGCTTCCTAGACACTGGGCCAAGCACTGTACAAGTATTAATGATTAAATTGTTCTCATTTAGTCCAATCCACTCACTTCCCAGATGAGGAAATGGGGGGCCCAGAGAGGGGAATTGACCAGAGCTGAGTCACACCAAGTGCAGCAGAGTTCCACTGACAGGAAACTCACTGCTGGGGACCAGCCCCTTGCGTGGCTGGGTACCTGGGAGGAGATGAGGCAGAGCAAACCCCGGCCTGACTTCTAGGTCAGTGTTTCTCAAACTTAAATATGTATCAGAATCACCTGCAGGCTTGTTAAACACTGATTGTTGGGTCCACCCTCACAGTTTCGGGATCTGGTATCAGGCTCAAGAACGGACTTTTCTAACAAGCTCACAGGTGATGCTGATGCTGCTGGTCCATGGGCCGCACTGCTCTCGTCTTTGGCTGGGGCCTGAGGACAATACACTTTTGTCTCAAATTGCCTACAGAAGCCCTTCCTGGCTTCATGGGGAGACAGATTGCTCTGAGTGAAGCTGAGTGTTTGTGAGGTCTGACGAGCACTTTTCTAAAGGGAATGACAGAGGACAGGATAGATGCTTCTGTTAGCTCTTTCTAAGGTCCTCATGTTGGGGATTTGTCCAGCCTGGACACGGCAGTGAGTCAGACTAGCCAGAGGCCTCAGGAGTACACACGGTTACTGAGGTGCATCTGGCTGTCTATTAGACAAATGAGCAGGTCCTGGGCTGGGCTGGGTCAGCTGGCCAAGGTACCCAGAGACTCCAAACCCTTGACTGGGGTTTGGAATCCTCCCAATAGCACACTTATGGTCCCTCCCCCATCAGCTGATGAACTGTGTTATGTCAGTGTCCCTTTGGGAGACTTCCCATCTCTTTTCATGTGCAGAGGCAAAGGAGCAGAGCCCCAGGGGTGTGGGCCGCTCCAATGTCCTCAGCCCCTCTGCTTTCCACTTAGCTGTACTGGAGGCTGGTCCTTGGTCTCATAATCACAATGAGGCTGCTATACCTCTTGGCGTCACATCCCCCATTCCATGCAGGAAAAGGGTAAAAAGCAGATAGGGAGAAGCCAGACAAGTTTGTCCTTTTAGAAAAATATCAGTAAAACAATAGTTTTCCGCAATCCTCTTACTCAATGTATTTCTATCAGAGTTGGATCAAAAGGTACTGCTAGCAGCAAGGGAGTCTGGGTAGGTTAGTGCCCTGAAAAAATAAAGTTTCCATTAGTGAGGCAGAAGGGGAGAATAAATATCGAGAAAAACAACTAACAATACTCAATACAGTGGAGTCACCAAGAGGCTGATTCTCAGAGTCCAAGTTCAGAAATTTTAACAGCTTCACTAACAGAAATCCTTCTCTAGGGAATGGAGCTGGAGCTCAAAAGCTTCCCAGAAAAATAATTACAAAGTAATAAATCAGCACAACATTTTTACCACTGAGAAATGCAACAGCCAAGTGACTGGGATCCTTACATCCACTGCTTAGAACAGTTTCCTGGCAGAAAAATATTCCTGGGGAACCACATGCTGCTCAGAAGGCAGCTCCCTAGGGAGTCTAGTTGGGCCTTTGGGCGAGGCTGCCTGAGCCTTCTGCCTCCCTGGAGACCCAGCTAACAAAGCCGCCAGGCTCCAGGCTGGGGAACCAGGGAAAGTCGTGCTCTTTGGCTCAGTTCTGTTCAACACACGTCCACTGAGTGCCCACTGTGGGCTGCCCCTGAACAGAAGAGATGCATGAGATATAAACCTTGCCCTCGAGGAGGTCTTGGGCCAGTGGGCTGCTGGCGCCCCACTTCCAAGACTTCATGAAGGACACTACTTCTCTGTGAATGATCAAATTATTCTTTCCACCCCCACTGGCTTGTTCTTGTTGGCATACGCAACACACACACACACACACACACACACACACACACACACACACAGAATTATCATAAACACAAAACTTAACAAGTCTCTCGGTATACGTACCCAACACACACACACACACACACACACACACACACACACACAGAATTATCATAAACACAAAACTTAACAAGTCTCTCATTCTTTTTGGCCACATAGGGCCAGTTTATTGCAGTTAAATACTTCTCTATTTCTTGTTCATTTTTCCATAAAGAAAATTACGCAAACACACACATTTCTCATTATTTATTGCCTTCTCCTTAAGACTCTTTCTCTCTTTTCTCCTACAAAAACATCATTCCTAAGAGAGAATCTAGACTCTTGGTCTCAGTTTTTCACCTCTCACTTTTTTTTGACCCACCGCATTGCCCACCCACCCCTACCCCTGCAATGAGACCTTTTGGCCAGCACCACCAGTGACCACATTTCAGGGACCCTTCTGCCGTTGACTTCCTGGACCACTGTTTTAGGTCGAGTTCTCTAGAAGCAGAGACTGAGATGAGGATTCATGTGCACGTGATTTGGGGGGTGTACTATCAGGGGAGGGAACCCTGTAGGGGAGTTGGAGAGGCAGAGGAAGGAGCTGAACCAAGATGTCATTTCAGATGAAGTCCGCAGCCTGATCCCATGGGTAACTCTGCAGTGTAAGAATCTGTCCTGCCTTGTGGAAAGGCAGCGGGATTTTGTGCCCCCGCAATGGTTGGTCATTGAGTCTGGGCACGTTCCGCCTGACTCCCCGGCACTTGCGGGAGTGGCAGTTCCAATACCCAAGGGCATGTCCCCAGGGAAGGATGCAATTGCAGTTAACAACAAACCCACATCAGCTGGGGACACACGAACCAAACCAAAGCAGTAAAAGGGTCTGAGGGCATCTGAACAGGGCACCAACATTGTCTGCTACAATCTCGCTGCTGCATTTAGAGGAGGTTAGCACGTTCTCTCCTCTCCTGGTTTTATGACATCATCCTTCCTGGTCGTTACTGGAGAGTATCCTGACTTACCACAACTAATGAAACAACTGACATCTTAGCAACAACTACGGTGATGACATATCTGATTCTCGGGCCCCTTGTGCTCACCACAGCTCCCAGGAGAGAATTTCTGCCACCGATTCTAGTGATTGTCATCACACTCTCACTGGCCGTAGCATCTGTTACCCCACTGACCAAAACCCTGTTGATTCCAGGACAGCTCAAATCTGCTCTCAGTGAATACGTGGCCAGGTTGGAGGGGGTGAAGCTGCTCAGGAGCAACAAGAGGCTAGGCGCCATCAGGGCCCGGATGCTGGGCGCCACCAGGGCTGCTGGGGATGTGCTGGTCTTCATGGACTCCCACTGCGAATGCCACCCAGGCTGGCTGGAACCCCTCCTCAGCAGAATAGCTGGTGATAGGTAACTCACCCCTGGGGTCTGGGGATCCAGAGGTGGGAGTGGGGGATATAGTCGATAGCCTCAGCCACTCATAGAACACCTACTCACCATCAAAGAAAGTGCCTAAGTCTCCACCATCAGAGAGCGACACATTCTTAAGGGTTTTTTTTGGATGTTTGAGACTTTTAAGAAGCATAGGGAGGTAGAGTTGGAAGAGAGGCTAGAGTCCTCCAGTCCACTTACCTTGTTTTATAGATACAGAAACTGAGGCCTGGAGAACAGCTTCTATTAGGTTGCAGATTCCCCTGCGAAGGGTAACACCTCATCGCGGTTATCACTACCTTTGATGAAAAGCCAGCAACTGACATTCAAAATTATTATTAGTTTTAGGTGTATAGCATAGTGGTTAGACATTTATACAACTTACAAAGTGAGCCCCCAATAAGTCTAGGATGCACCTGGCACCATACATAGTTATTACAATGTTATTGACTGTATTCCTTATGCTGTATTTTATATTCCCAAGACGATTTTGTAACTACGAATTTGTACTTCTTAATTCCTTCACCTTTTTCACCCAGCCCCTCAACTCTCCATCCATATGACAACCATCAGTTTTTTCTCTATATCTATGAGTCTGTTTCCGTTTTGTTTGTTCATTTACCTCGTTTTTTAGATTCCACTTATAAGTGAAATCGTGTGTTATTTGTCTGTCTCTGTCTGACTTATTTCACTTAGCAAAATACCCTTTAGGTCCATTCATGTTATTGCAAATGATAAGATTTTATTAGTTTTTAAGGCAGAATAATATTCCATTGTATATATGTACCACAACTTCTTTATCCAATCATCTATCGATGGACACTTACTTAGGTTGCTTCCATATCTTGATTATTGTAAATAATTGTGTGATGAATATAAGGGTGCATATATCTTTTCAAATTCGTGATTTGGATGTCTTAGAGTGAATGCCCGGAAGTGGAATTGCTGGGTGCTAAGGTGATTCCACACCTCATTCACAGCTTCCTGCGCACTCCGTTTCCTCTGGGCCCCATAGCTTGGTGTACATGCCCTTACAGATGAGGGTCTGAAAGAAAAGCTACTTTGCCCGGGTCTAAGTTCTCATTTCTTTCCACTACACACAGCGATGCTCTGTGAGCGATGGCCCGAGAGAGCATCCCCTTTCAAGATTTGCTTTACTCCCTCAGTGACCTTGCTCAGGCAATTCCTCAACTCATGTAAAGCAAAGCTGTAGAAGCCACTGGGCACAGCTCCTAATAGCTGCTGTTCTTTGAGAGAGGAAAGGGCCCTGGCTGTCTCTAGGGCTCATAGCAGGAGACGTTCTGTCACCAGGTGAGGACCCATTGCCCAAAAAGCAAGGAAGCGTATTTAAGAGCTTTCATTAAAAAGGTAGAATGGAAATGGTAAGTAAACAGTGTGATAAGACATAAATCAACTATTTAAAGAGTCATAACTTCCTCAACACCCTGGTCAGAAAATTCAAGGCCTGGTGTCTAGCCCTGGTTCCCTGCGCCTGCCCACAGACCGCGTCTGCTGTAACCCATATGGCAGCTTGGTGTGAACAGGTGGAAAGGGTCCCTTCTCCATGACCGTTTACTCCCATTCTTCAGAAAATTTGTCATAATACACTCGTTTTGTTAGAAGAAGACACTTTAGTGCTGTCAGATAATTTAGAAATAAATATGCAAAGTTATAGTGTCTATGATATTTGAGGCATTCTTTAAAATTGGGCAATGTACAACCCACATAACTCTAGATAACAGCCTCAGACAGAGTTTTTATTTTTTTATTTTTTTTAAGAGAAATTGTTTTTAGAGCAGTCTTAAGAGGTGGTGATTGGTGGCTGGTTTCTACATAAAGTAACAAGGATGAACATCAAGAGTAGCTGTCATTACAGCTGCCAACTGTCTGGTGCTGACTGCCAGCTCCAGTATTCTAGCCAAGGAATGAGAGTCAGGGCTCGAGAAAAATGAAGATTTCCAAGGGGAAAGGGGCAGTCCTTGGTGAAGTGTTGAAAAGCAGCACCATTTTAGGGGCGATCCTCGCTCAAGAGGCTGTCCAAGCTGTTTTCCACATGAAGACTGGTCTGGTTCCCTATCTTAGAGACACCTAGTTCTTAAGGTCACCTAGAGCTGAGCCAGGGCTGAGCCTGCTCAGTAGGGAGATGCAGGGTGGGGCAGGGAACACAACGCCTCCTACCTCTCTGTCACGGGGTTAAATGATAGAGGGCAGCCTGAGGAATCCCACGTGAGTGTGTGTTTAGGTAGTGAGTGTGCGAGAGAGTTTGTGAGTGTGTGTATTGAGGAGCAGCAGCGGGCTCAAGATGCCTCCCAGCCCGGCAGAGGGAGCAGCCTTCTCTGGGTCTGATGTCCCCAAGGAACCTCTCCAGCCCCAACCTACTCCACACCCCCTCAGCATGACAGAGTCTGGGAAGGGCTGACCCCAGTCTCGGGGTCACACATGAGCAGCAGGAGCTCTGGGAAGAGAGAATTTAGCGCCTTTTGCTTCTCAGTGTAAGAAGCTTTTTGCAAACACCAATAATTCGAGTGGATTTCCCAAATGACTTTACCTATTGCAGCCCTGGAGGGACATCCAGGTCCACGGAAAATAAAGAGGGGCTGGAAAGAACCAGGGCTTATTCTTTCTTGTGGTAACAGTGTTGGTTGGTAAGGTTGGAGCTGCAGTTAGCTTTTGAATATATGAATGGTACTTTATTAGTTGACCTGATATGGACTGAATGTTTGCGTCCTCCCCAAATTGATGTCGAAAACTTAGCCCAAAAGCTGGGGCCCAGAGAAAACAGAGTGCACAGGAAGCTGTGAATGAGGTGTGGGGAGACCACAAAATCGCAGAGGAGGGGCATGTGAAGAGGAAGCCGAGCCAGTCTTTGTTGACAACTCAGCTGCCTCTATTTGTCTTTTGAAACCAAAACATTTGACCTCTTGGAGCTTAGAAAGGCTTAAGAGAGGATCCACCTCCTATCTACCTGAGCATTAAAAGCCAATTCACAAGCAAGAATGATGGAGTAAGCAGACACTTCTAGTTCCTTCCAAGTCAGACAGGGCAGCTTTGATATTTTGCTTTAAGTGAATTCCAAGAACATCAGACACATCTGTAGTTACAAAATCCAAAGCTAAATATAAGATCGTTTGGGATTTATTTTTTTTAATCACTCTTTTCGAGTCCCTAGACTGCCGTTACTCCCTAATTCAGCCCAGTTACTATGGTCCATGAAAATAAAAACCAAAACAGAAAACATCTTTCACTTCCTTTATTGAGATTTTATTCTTCATCTGTATCCAAAATGAATTCAAAGAGGCTCATGATTAATCACATATGTGTCTGGTTAAAATAGAAGGAAAAGGAGATTTCACAAAGGAAAAGATGGGAGTCAGGGGTAATGAAGTTAGTAGAAGTGAGCTGTACATCTGACTCTGAACTTCCAGCAAAACAGAGCGAAAATTTAATGAGTTTTAGGGTTCTCATTTTCTGACGAAAAGTAATGTACACTCTGTCAAAGGGGCACAGCTCAGAGGTCTAGGACAAATTGATTGTGTGGCTGCTCAAATGCAATTTCCCTACTATGATTACTGAGATGACACAAATTTGATGAGATTCTTAAAAATTCAGCCACATGGCTCCCTGGCTCTTGATTCTGAAATTCCACAAAATGCTTTGCCAATAGCCAGATCTATCCCATCTGCTCAGTTCATTCTCCAGTAAACGGAGATGGGTAAAAGGCTGAGTGCCCTCCTTTCATCCTTGATCTTGCTTCTCAGTTTTCTTAGGTCCATGCAGGGTGTCCCAAAATAGCAGAGACAAGGGGGGTTAAGTTTCCTTTACCTTCCAGAGGGAGCGATGTGAAAAGGGCAGGAAAAGCTTATTGAGATCCCTGATCTAAATATAAACCCCATGACCCCTCACACCAATATCAGTCACTAAAGGCCACAGGTTAAAGCAGATAATTGAATCTCAGGACCACCCTGGCCTTCTCTGTTGGGCCTGGGCTTACGCCAGGCCTGACTTTCTCCAAGATGAAAGGAACAGAGACGGGAGTCGATGGGAGTATAAACGCACCGTGGCTGGCTGGCGTCTCTACTTCCAGGAACCTCACTTTCCTTAGAGTGGTACCTGCCAGCCACCTCTGAGTTCATGGCCTTACCCATTTCACAGCACAAATTTTAGAAGTCATGAGAGCCTAGGAAAAAAAAATGTGATTGATATATTGTCTAGGTGGAGAGAAGTTCCTGGTACACCTGAGTGATTACCTGTTTATTTAAAAGGTGAAGTTTCTGATCTGTACCAGTTTCCCACATCATCCTCTCTGAAGCTGGATCACAGCCTATGGAAAAGAAAGGGGAGGGGGATAAAATACAATCACCAACAGCATCAATAACTGAACGGATAACTCAGGACTTTGGTTTGCTGGTAGATACTGTGTGCTCACATACAGATACACTAACACCAGTGACACTTCTGGGGCTTGGCAGTCCTGCTTCCTCAAATCAATTAAGTGTTATGATACAGGGAGGAATAAGAACTGTGAAATTGCGTGCAATATTTTCTACATGTGCATGTGATTATTTTTTTCTGAGGAGGGCTCCCTAGTCTTCCCCTGCTTCTCAAAAGAATCAAAGACCTCAAAAAGGTGACAAGCCACAGCCCTAGAGCTTTACGTCTGAGAAAGACCTTGGTGGGAAGTAGTTCAACCCTCATTTTACAAATGAGGAAACTGAGGTCCGAAGAGGTCCAACAGCTCTCTCAAGATCACACAGCTCATTCATGGTAGAGCTGAGCCAAGCACCCCATTCTCCTGTTTCTTAGGGCTGTCAACAGAGGTTTTTAAAGAAAGAAAGGGGCAGGCACTCTCTAATGAAATGGGCCCCCAATTCCTGATGGAAAAACATTTTCCAGAATAGTGCTGACCAATGGAAATACAACATGAGCCACATATGTAATTTATTTTTTAAATATTTTTATGTACGTAATTTAAACATTCCTAGTAGTCACATTATAAAATAAAAAGAAATCAGAAATTAATTCCAATATATTTAAACAAACCCAATATATCCAAAATATTATCATTTCAACATATAATCAATATAAACATTACTGAGATTTTTTTTACTTTTTTTCATACTGTTTTCTAAATCTAGTGCGTATTTCACACTTATACACATCCAGATTCAAACACACTATCTTTTGGGTGCCCAGTAGCCACATGTGGCTGGCTGCCGCCATATTGGACGGTGGGTGTATCGATTATGCTTCTATCCCCAGCAACTGAGTGGTTTGCATTCCTTATTTGACTCTCCCGTCCTTTCCAGGAGCCGGGTGGTGTCTCCAGTGATAGACGTGATTGACTGGAAGACTTTCCAGTATTACCCCTCCAGGGACCTACAGCGTGGGGTGTTGGACTGGAAGCTGGATTTCCACTGGGAGCCTTTGCCAGAGAGTGAAAGGAAGGCCCTTCAGTCCCCCATCAGCCCCATCAGGTGAGGCCCACCACAGAGCCTGCTTTTCCTTTGCTTCCTTGGGATGGACGCAGTAGCCAGTCTGCCTGGGAGCTAATCCTGGCTCCCCAAGTTTCCTAGCAAGTTACTTAATCTGTGTCTCAGTTTTCTCATCAGTAAATTGAGGATAATAACCATACTTACCTTATAGGGTTGTTGTGAAGACTGAATGAGTTAATATATGGAAAGCATTCAGAGAGTACCAAGCATTCACGTGTGTTATTGTTTTTATATTGCTATATTAATAGAGTCCAGTGAAGGTCTTGAAGATACTTTTAATGGGTACCGCAGTGTGGGACAGTGACAGAACCTGAGCTGGGATCTTGACCCAGCTCTGCCTCACTAGATAACAGTGGAATTTCCCTGGCTTTGGATCCCTTCTCAGGCAAAAAGAAGAACTCAGCCAGGCAACTGCTAAGACACCATAAGTATCAAAATACATCCAATTTTATGGGTTGCTTCTCACCTGTATGGTTTTTGGACAACTATGCTATTTAAGCAGATGTTCTAGATATCTTCTGGTGCATAACAAATCACCCAAACGTAATGGTGTAAAACAACAACACTTTATTAAGCTTATGGATTCTGTGGGTCATAAATTCTGAAAAGGAGCATTGGGGTCAGTTGTCTCTGTTCCATGGTATCTGGAGACTTAGCGGGACTATTCTTCACTAGGCTAGACTGTCTGAAAATGACTCAACATCTGGGAGCTGGAATCCCTTGAAGGCTGATCACAGGTCTGAAGGTTGATGTTGGCCATCAGCTAGGACCTCAGTGGGAATGTCTTCACCTGTTCTCTCCATGAGGTCACTGCACCGGGGCTACTTGTGGCTTGCTACACAATGGCACTGGGTTCCGAGAGCAAGTATCCTGAGAGAGCCAGGTGAAGCAACCTATATCCCCCCACTCTTTAAAAAATAATTTAATGAAGTGAAATTCATGTGGCATAAAATTAATCATGTAAAGTGAATGATTCAGTAGCATTTAGTATATTCACATAGTGTGCAACCACTACCTCTCCCTGTCTCCCTGGAGTTGATTTTGAGCTCCAGGCTTCTGTGGGGCTAGCATGGGTGAGGAGGGCGTGCCCCATCTCAGGCTTAAGCTGCCCTGCATCCATGTTCACCATGATGTACCTTGATTGGTCATGGACGCTGGCGGGGGTTGGCACACCTGACCCCAGCAGCCTGCACCCTCCATGCGCCATCTGCCAAAGTTTCACACCCTCTCTTAGCCCCCATACCACAGCCCATGCTACTCTGCTGACAGTCCCAGGTCCTTCATGGAGCTGTGTCTAGCACCCTCTGCCTGGTGCCCCATGGTGCTGCCTGGACCCTATTTCCTGGGGCAGAGGGTGGTGAGGATTCCCTGGGCTCCCAGGGCAGCCGTAGGGGAGGCAGACAAAGTGCCCTTGGCTCTCAGATACCCAAACAACAAGTGCTGGGTCCTCCTCCTCGAGGAATTAACCATGAGCTTACAAATAGAAAGTGGCAGAATTGGAAATTGTATCAAGTAATATACAATACTGGTTTTAAGTATTCTGGTATGACAACATTTTTAATAACCTAAATGTCAGTAGTTTTGATAATTTAATACTATTTTCTTGGTAATTAAAAAGCCTGGACTCTGAATCATTTACATCTTGAGACATACCCAGAGTTTAGCCGCATTAATATTTGTTTAAATTTTTTTTTCCTGAATGGACATGCTTTCAAAAGCCTCGTGGCTACATCTTCTCTTGTTTAAACCCTTCTGAGGGATATTATTGTCACCTTAATTCCCTCATTCGGGGGTTGTAGTTTCTTGTGTTTAATCCAGTATTTAAATGTTAAATACGTTTAAATAAGTCATGTGTATTTCTTCAGGACAGGAGGGGACCTATCTACAACTACTGCCCCTGGTGGATTGATTCGTCTTAGAACTGGGGAGAGCTCGATGGTCATGAAATAAACGGAAGAGAGTGAGGTCAAGGGTGAGGGGAGAAAGAGGACAGAACTGACCTTTTCCCTTTCTCTAGGCCTGGTGCTACCTGCCCGGTATCTTATTTAAATCCTAGCCTCCTTCTCAAAAGCCTCTCCAGAAAGATTCAGCCAGAGGGTAGAGAAGCCTCAGATGTGGCCCCATGGCTCTCCCTACAGGAGCAGTACCTCAGGATGGGGTGTAAAAACCCAGTCAATTACAGTTATCTTTTCATAAAATACTGGGATTTCTAACATACTTGCTTTGCTCCAGTCTTGCCATTAAAAGCATTGAGGTCTCTTGGAGCCAAGAGTCCACTCTTTCGGCCACGAGAACTTCCCTCAAAATACCTCCCTGATGTGCTCTGGGTTCTGAACTGTAGCCTGTTCCTGTCTTCTCTCTCCAGGAGCCCTGTGGTGCCCGGCGGGGTTGTGGCCATGGACAGACATTACTTCCAAAACACTGGAGCTTATGACCCTCTCATGTCACTGCGTGGTGGTGAAAACCTCGAACTGTCTCTCAAGGTATGCCCTGGACCAGGGGAGGACTCAGATAGGCTCTCTGGAACTGTCTGTGTGGTCACAGCTTGGAGGCAGTCATTGGAAATGCCACTGGTCAGGGATAAGGATGTGGAAAAATTATGAAGTCATTAAATGTGGTGTGTCAAACTTCCGGTTTCTTCTCCCTTCCTGTCTCTTTGTGCACTACCGTGATTTTACCCCCAGCTGCACTCGTGAACTTGGCTATCAAACTTGCCCATGGGAAAGGGCAGATTATCAGTCACCCACACCTCAGGGTAGATCTCCCCCTACATTCTCCATTCATTGCACCCTTAGCATCTCAGTAACTTTTTACAGCACCCACAGGCCAAAACGAACCCCAAGCATTTCTGTACGCTGAGTAGTTTGGTCCAAACAACTTAATAGGCATTTGTTCTAACAACTTAGTACCTGCTGGGCACTGCACAACTTCTCACATCTTGGAGTCAAAGTGAGCACGATAGTTTTTCATCACAGCAACCTTTAAAAACCCAACCCAGTGAAGGTACACACCATCAAAAAGTGCAATGATCTAGTCTTGAAACCATGAATTACCTCAAACTTGTAGTTTGCAGAACATCCAACGGATGTCACTATGTTTGTCTCAAACACAAACTATCCCACGTGGCCTTTTCGGTTCGCTGGAGCACCCTGGGGCATCTTGGCACACAGTCTGGGAACCCCAGCTTTGTTGCGTTTCAATTCATACGCTGCCTCTGCTAAGAATGGTTTCATTTTCATCTTTATCCCCAAGTGTGCACTGAAAGCCTTCCTGTCAAATGAATTTCAGGCATTTGTGAGCAGGCAGAAGAGTTAGTGGAGAGCGGGGAGAACCCTCCTGAAGCAGGAAAGACTATGTTTAAAAAAGGTTTGCTTTGATCTTTACCAAGTAGCTTCTGGTGCCTTTGCAGCAGGAGACTTGCGAGCTTTTAGAAATTACTGACCACTGGGGACCCCTTTTTCCCTGAGGAAGCCGCCTTTGGAGAATAGGGGTGCTAACTCACGTGGGCACATCGCCATGATGCTAAGTCTGCGCATGTGTTTCAAGGGGGACCGGTCCAGTCGTTGCGTGGGTGTTGCCCCCCTCACCCCGGCAGCTCCGGCCCAGGACAACTGGCACCCATTCTTCTCACCTTGTCACTCCCCCGCCCAGAACTCCCAGATGCGGAATTTCTGCTGCACCCTGAGGACCATACTTATCTTTTCCGTTTTGTGCTCATGATTCCCGTGCATTTTGCCAGCCCCATGCAGGTCCCTTACTTCCCACGTTCTTGGAGCGGAGTGCAGAGGCGTGTATTTTCTCCTTTCGTGGCAGGCCTGGCTCTGCGGCGGCTCCGTTGAAATCCTTCCCTGCTCTCGAGTGGGGCACATCTACCAAAATCAGGACGCCCACTCCACCCCTGACCAGGAGGCCACCCTGCAGAACAAGGTTCGCGTTGCTGAGACCTGGCTGGGCTCGTTCAAAGACACCTTCTACAGGCACAGCCCAGAGGCCTTCTCCTTAAGCAAGGTAAGGAGAGCTCAGCAGGGGCTTCTGTGCCCATGACAGGGCCATCAGCTGGAAGCCAGGCCTGGGAGTGGCTCTCACTCCTACTTGGAGGGAAAAATAGAAGCTTCTGGCTTGTACTTCCCTTGAGCCGCTCCTCTCAAGCGGGCTCCTCCACCTGGCAGGGCTGTCCTCTGTCTCTCCCAGCATCATATGGGGCATCAGAGCTGGTCTTGGCATGGAACTCCTTGATGTCTGTGGGATGACATCTAAGGGATGCAATCCTTCAGCACGGAGCGGGAGGAGAGATTGGGCAGGGAGAAAGTGATGAAATGGGTCTCAGAGCACCCTTCCATCCTGAGCAAGATGTTCAAGGCTGTGAAATTATCAAAGACATGAAACAAATAGAAGTATATTAATAAATATAAAGGATCCAAAACAAGTCACAGAAAAATAAAATTTGTAAACATTTAATTGAAGGCCCACAAACACTGCATTTTCAGCTAGTCAACTGTCACTCAGCTCAATTATTATGGAGTGATACATAAATACTATTTCATGTGGGACATAGGTCACATTAATATTTGCTGTACTGGGAGTGGGGCTCTAAAGGTAAGATTTCCAGGACCCCCAAATATCCGGGAACAGCTCTCACAAGCCCCTCACCAGAGCATATTGCTGGGTGTGATCCTTTCTCTGGTCCACAAATAGCCATCTTTCGTTTGATGACTTTCACTAGGAGAATGGCACCTCTTCCTGGTAAGTAAGAAGATTTTTTTTTTCTGCCATTTTTTTTTTTTTGAGCATTCTATTAATTCATGTTTTGGAAATGTCCTATCGCTTACTTTGATGTCAAGATTTCAGTAACATCACTGCCTCCCTGAAGGTATTTGATAGCATGTATTTACCGTAAATTCAGATAGCTAAATATTAAGTTTGTTCTAATGGTTTCTATCCTTCCATCTCTCTTCCTGCTCCATTCCCAAAACCATCACATGGATTTTGAGATACAGAAATCATGGCCCCCAAAGACAAGGCTGGAGTTTCAGTGCTAGAGGAATTGACATTCTTTTGTTTTCTCTTTTCTCAGGCATGGTTGTAGAGGGAAAGTTCTTTGTTAGCATGCCCCTTCATTTGAGGTCAAACAAGGGCTGGGTAGATTTGCCACTTTGTCTCATTGCCAAGAAAGGCGAAGGTAAAGGAACTGGCATAAAGGAATGTTTCTGTATTAGTAGCAAAATCCAGTCCGGGGAAAGAGCTGGGGCAGACTCAAATAAACACTTAAGAGTGTCATGAAACTATCAAAAAACCTGTAGTAATTTCTTCAGAAGAAAAAGCAATAGCTCTCTTTGGTTTAATGGTGAACGAATATGTTAAAGAAACAAGACATTCTGTGGTTGTTCTCAAGTTTTCTGTGGATAAGACTCACTGGGAGAAATGGTTAGATGCAGATTATAGGGGCTCTGCCTCAACCTACTGAATCATGAGCTCTGCAGCAGAGCCCAGGAATCCACATTTTAAATAAGTTTCTTGGGCATTTCTGAGCCAGGTACTCAGGGGATCACACTTTGAGCAGCATGTAGAGAGCATTGAAATATTGGAGACCAGGTGTTACTCTTTCCAACATTTCTATCTGAGGATGAAGAGAGAGAAAAAACACAATCAAACCAAGCTCACTTCACACGGCCGATTAGACCAATGTCTAATTGCCAGAACCTAGAGACCATCAAACTGGAACTCTGTCACGGACTTCCTATTCCAGCTCCAGCTCTTTTTTTTCCCCCACCCCAAGAAATAATAATCTCTCTTTTGTTTTGTTTTGTTTATTTTGTGTGTGTGTGCGTGTGTGTGTGTGTGTGTGTGTTTCTAGTCCTTCCAACCCCTTCTTAGCACCTCTGTCTTCCTTAAATATATCTAGGATTTAGTACTAAACTTCTAGAAAGGGTTCTTTTTATCTTATCAATACAGCCCCAAACCTTAATTTATACTAAAGTGTTAAGGACTTACCTTGATATGCATCCTAGGACAATAGTATCATAAAGGAGAATCTCAAGAAGAGGGGAGAGTTAAGCCCAAAGGAATGGTTCATTCATGGAGGAAATTTGGCTCCTAGAGAGGAAGAAAGGAAAATTTGCCTTTTCTCCATCCCCACCCCACAATTTCCCAGCTTACTTCAGCTCAGTTGCCTTTGGGTCAGTTCCTGTCTCCATGAGGCCCATAATGGTGCTGCACCACACTAACCTAGGTCCAAAGCCCCATCAGTTTTTGCCAACTTCCACAAAAGTCATCAAAGCATAGCTAAATTGGTCTTTGTAGACTGAAGACGTGAGGACTTGTGGGAAGGAAGTGACATCATCCACCATGTTGCTGGTTCTAAAACTCTCTCTAGGGAAGACTCATTCTGTTCTGTCCCTTCCAAACCCTCTTTTCCCAACACGTGACCCTCTCCCCTGTCTGCAGCCCTGGGAAACTGTGGTCTCGGTTTCCTCATTCTGTCCCAATCCTTCAGTTTCAGCTTTGGTCCTTCCTCTACCGTGTGAATTCTGATCTACAACAAGCTTTTTCTATCTCACTGCCTTTGTCTTCCCCCCTCCCCCGCCCTCCCCC